GTAGTCCTCAATTTTAATAATAACAATAATGGCCATAAATACTAGTCAGTTGTCAAATGTCTGAATTTCGATCACGTGATCATGTGGATGCTGCAATGGTTGTAAATGTGGAAAAAAAACAGTCCTTTTTTCAGCGCCGTTGTAACTTTGAACAGTCATTAAAGGAACTATTGTAAATTGAGGACTACCTGTATTTCAATTTATAGACCATATGTCCGGGATGGTATATGGTATCTTCCCTTGAGCAGAGGGTTGGACTAGAAGACCTCTGAGGCCCCTTCCAGCCTTATCATTGTTCTATATTCTATAACAACGAAATGGGAAGAGAAGAAGGTGAAGCTGATGTGAAGGGGGAAAAAAAGGAAAACAGAAATGAGCGAGCAAAATAATAAGGCCATGAGCTATGAAACTGAAAACTCTGTTCTTACGACACAGAATGAATATTGAATCCATGGAGAAATATTAATTGGACTTTCCATTGCGTAGACAGAAAGCCAGTTTGCGTATGACCTGACCCAGGTTTTCCATTGGGGATTTAAAAAAAAGATAAAACAAGAGTTTTTTCCTCTTGGAAGAAGGCATGATTTTGAGTTGCAGAATAAGCCCAGAGTTCTTGGTGGAATCCACATTTTCAGGGTGTAATTTAACCCCACCTTCATAAAATGAAATCTGACCTCATATCCGAACATTGATTAACAAAGTAGTGCAACTACTAACTCAAAACATAGAAAGTCAGTACCTCCTCCCAAATATTGCATTTCCAACTTTAAGAATTTTCAACCCAATCCTTACTGGACATTCGCTGCGGAAAAGGTGATTTTAAGCACACTTGAAGATCATGGCACAAAATCAACTTTCTTTAAGTGGCATGTCGATTTTTTCAAGCAAAATATTCCAACACTTCAAAAAGTTGTGCACCAGGAGCCAAGCTTGATTTGAAAGAGATTATCTTGATTCAAAATTACACTCCCCTTTTGATTATAAGCTCAGGATTTAATCGGAAGCCTTGAAACATGATTGCAATGATAAAGTACCTGAAGGTAACTTCTAAATACAATTTAAATCCCTCCCTCTTATTTGCATGTCTACGTTACAGTTTAATACCCCGTAACTAATAATCCCTGCACCAAACAGATCCATCTTATTTCCTCTAGTCCATTTTCGCTACAAATTATGGATTTAAGAGGAAGATTTGAAGAATCGTTGTTGCAGTAATAAACATACTTGAAGGCAACATTTAAGNATGTATGTATGTATGTATGTATGTATGTATGTATGTATGTATGTATGTATGTATATGATTGGACACACAAGGAATTTGTCTCCAGTGCATACGCTCTCAGTGTACATAGAAGCAACAAGTGATAAATTATGATCGTAGTCATCGTAAAAAGGCATTCATCATAAATCATAAGATACAATGCTTAGAGATAGTCATAGGATATTAAACAAGCAATCAACATACATCATACTAGGATACTAAATAAAACTATAAATCGTAAGATACAGGCAGCAAAGTCATAGACAAAAGAAGATAAGGAGATTGGTAATAGGGAAGAGGAGAAGAAAAATAATAATACAGCCTTACTAGATAGTGTGACAGTGTTGTGGGAATTAATTGTTTAGCAGAGTGATGGCATGTTTAGTAGTTCTGGCGTGCAATGCAAGAGAATTATAAAAGCAAACTTACTCCCTGGAAACAAATACTGTGGGGGTAAGACACCCTTAACACCCCTCAGGGTGTGTGTTCTGTTAAGATACAGCCTGTTGTGCCTTAAAGTGGCTTCTACCGTATTGCCTTAAAATGGCTTTTTCTGTACAGCGCTGTGGAGTTGCCATGGTAACGGCTTCACAGTACTCCACAAGGGGGCTCCCTCAGGTAAGGGGGAAAATCCAACATTAGAAATTGGGGCGATATTCATGGAAGGAGGGTTGGGATAAATCAATACCCGGGCAGCGCCAGGTTATCAGCGAGTTTAATTTTAATAATTAACAATCTCTTACCATAGTCCATACAGGTTGGGGGATTGTGGCAGTCGAAGCCTCCTGTACTGGGCACTCAAAACCGAGAGGCAGCTGCATGTCGCTAAAGATCAGTTAAAATATTTGCACAGCTATTAAATACTTACTGGTATTCAGAATGTCCTCGTGAGAAATTAGATCTCCAAGCGTCTGAGGCCGGTATTTCTCTACCCTGCCAATAAAAATAAAATGCAGATTTTCACAACTAGAGAATCCATGTTTTGACCGAGGCTTCCCAAGAGCATGAAGCAAACTCCTTGTCCCGACAAAAACCCTTTTTATTAAATTACTGTGAATTCTGCTCATTCACATCCAGCAAAGTCTTTCAAGGGAGGATTTATAGTCACAGACCTTATCTGCCTTGGAGAGCTGCCAGGCTGATATCTGCAGAACTTGGCAAGGTGTCTTGGAGAGTCACAAGCCAATTAAGCAAACTAATTGTCCCCTGCAAACTCCACTCCCCTTTTGCTTTCTCTTTCATTTCCTCTGGGAGGGGCCATTCATCATCCACCTGTTGGCCTTACTCCCAAGTCGACCCCTGTTCTTTAGCTGTTCCTTTCGTCTGGC